AATAGGCGACAATAACTCAAGTCATATTTTCCCATTGTCAACATTATATTAAACTATAACTCACTTGTGGTCGTGCAACACTTGACTTTTCAACGTCGTCGGCGTTACGGAACAACAAACCTTTTCCGGTCAGCCATCTTTAAGCTCGCCACATACGCATGCGCAATTATTTACCGCGAAAACATAAATGGCCGGTAAGAAAATTTTTAGTAGCCATGAATAGGTGAACAAGTTGCGTAAAGTAAAACAAACAAGAATAAAATCCAATCCAAACCAGACGAAGACTAAAACTAATAAGACTAAAATGATCAATACTTGAAAACAAATTCACATTCTTCAATAAATAGATAAATAGATAAAACATTGAAGTTTTCTCTGGACCTAAAGATGCCTTGGTGAATACATTGAAACATGTAACCGATTCCATCCTCTTTTATTAAAAAAAGTTACAAAATCAATAGTCTCTCTTCAAGCCAGTATATATCTGCCTTTTTTATTTGGAAGCGTGTTTAAATTTTGTTAATCCTATTCTATTTATTTTTTTATTTTTATTCAACGTTCATAAATCAATAAATCAGATTTTCTTTTAAATAATATATAAACATACTTAACTTATCGCTGTCGCCTTTGTTAATGATTTGTTTGCCAATTATCTTGATAAAAAATGATCAAGTTTCCCATTGAATAATTCATTCACGTTATTAATAATTTATTAGGGGTAGACCATTTGAAATCATGGGGTGGCTGGAAAGATTTGTTTAAAAAAATGCAAGCTAGACACTGAGAGAAAAATATAAAATGCATGCACGTTGTTGTAGGAACAATTGTTAGCAAAATTAAAGAAAAAAATGCACAGAAGACACTTCAGCCACTCCATGATCTAAACTGTTGAATCCGTATTGAGCTGTGTGACGATTTTGAACAAAACCGTAGCAAATATCTAATTTAGAGAGTGTTCTTGTTTTCACAAGCTGCATCAAAAAATACACTACAAGTTTTTTACAGAATATTAACCGTTGGTACTATTTAATAATATTAATATATGTTAATCACAAGTGGATGTGAAACTCTTTAACAAAACTTAATTTACAATTTTTCGGTGTTGATACCTTCACTGAATAGTTTTGGCCAGGAATGGTGGATTGTTTAATATTTAGTCTACTCCAGATAACAGCGCCATAACATAAAAGTGGTTTGACCAATGCGATGAAGAACTTACATGCTAATTTTACAGAGTAACACTCGTTATTATTCCATAGTATCTTGTACATTTCAAATAATCAGTTCTGAGATTGGCAGCTTTTGAAGTAAAGAAGGAAGTGTGAAGAAAATTGCATGGTGATTTAAATGGACGGATCTTCAGTTTGGGTGTTATCCAATTCTATAGTTAACATCAAATGCTTGGTACGTCATCCTGGTATTTTTCGACCGTCCTCAGGCTGACATTTCGAACGAAGTAATAAATCATCTGCAAACAAAATAAAATAAAATTTGATGTCATTCGGATTAACAAGGTCAAGGTTCACTTTTTTACAAATATCATTCACATAGGTGTTAAATGAACACGAACTTGATTGCATCATTCATTTACACCCTGACTTGAAGTATGAGGTAGCCCATTTATTTAGTTTAATACTGTGAGTTGTATTGCTGTAGATTAATTCAAGAATTACATAAAATTTATCACCAGCACCCAATTTCAGAAGTTTTAAAAGTAGGCCATACCGAATTTAATGCTTCGAAGAAGTTAAAAAAAAAGAGAAAGGGTAATATATACTGTGTTGTCCTACATAGTTTGAGTCGTGTGACTACCACGTGACCTTAATTTAACTAATTGTATAACTGCTCGCGAATTCGGGGAGTTTCAAATTTCCGCTGTGATTATGCATAATTGAATGTGTAGTAAATTTATTTATTTATTTATTTATTTATTTATTTATTTATTTATTTATTTATTTATTTATTTATTTATTTATTTATTTATTTATTTATTTATTTATTTATTTATTGTTTATTTATTTATTTATTTATTTATTTATTTATTTATTTATTTATTTATTTATTTATTTATTTATTTATTATTTATTATTTATTTATTTATTTATTTATTTATTTATTTATTTATTTATTTATTTATTTATTTATTTATTTATTTATTTATTTATTAACACATAAAAGGGTAGCTCCTTTCAAAGAATTGTTTTGTTGTTTACATATTGCAGCTAGTCATCAACTTTATGAATTTGTCACCATTGTTCAGTGAACTCTGTCTCTATATAATAATAATATAATGGCTGATACCGGTTTGTATGATAGTAAATTTACAGTCTGTAACTGACATTCTATTACAAAGTGAATGTTATGCTCAAATCCTTGACATATTTGGCAAGTTTTTATAATTTAACTTTACTGAAATACCTATCGCATGTTTTTCATTGAGGTGTTTTAAATTCTTGTTATGGTGATGTCTATCGTTTTATTATGCATAATTTTAATTTATAAAGCCATCTGTTTTTAAAATTGTTCCACTTCTTTCAATGCATCTTGTGCGATGTTGTTTGCGGCCTCTACTGGTAAACATTCTGTGTAGTGCCTGGAAGCTTAGTACTAGTACTGTATAATGCATTGAAGAGGATGACTTCCTGTCTCCATTCTCACTCATGTCCGTGGTCTGCTATTGCATCGTAACATATCATTTCAGATTCGTCAAAAATGCATAAAAAATCGAGTGTCGTTAAAAACTTCGCACGAGAAGTTGGCCTACAATGGGAGAAGAAAACCGAAAAAAAAACTGCCTGGGACGCAAAAAATCGACAGAAACCAGAAAAAATGCAACTTCATCCACAGTGCGAATAGCTTAACACATATTGCACAATTACAGGTACTATCCCTAAACTTGAATTCTCCAAATTCTTCGTCTCAGAGTTGTATTATTCATCGTCATTTTGCGTTATATATATACATCGTTACGTATGCCCTGTAATAGTTACTACTACTACTACTACTATTTAAAAGAATATCCATCGATGATAACAACATGTAATGTTGAGATATGGACTGTAGATGACTATATTGCATGTTACGCACGTTAGTGCCTAACGGGCGACTGTAGATTAATAAAATATTAATAGTACTTTATCTGCATAAATGGAAAACAAATCATCACTATGAGATACTTGCATTAAGCAATAATAAAAATGTATCGTTGTTGCATACTCATAAAAACATGAGAAATGTGAAAAATATAAAACATAGAACAATATTTGAACTCAATAGGTCTACTGTGATTGGACAGTGTCAAATCCGGATGTAGATCAGTGGCGGCAGTATATAATGATAAATGTCTATGTGTGTACACACACCGAATACTAATTAGACGGGACGACAAGTGGTGCAGATCTTTGTTGACAAATCAGGACATTAATCTGTACATATGAACACTATGTGCGTGACAACGGTTTTCATTATTGCCATTAATATTAAAATATCAGTGTTGAGACAATTTATTCTTCTCACGCTTCTGAATATCTTTGATGTTGATCTAGGAAAACCGACTACTGTATGCATACCCCGCAAACGACCTTTTGATCGACTTACCGTGAACAGTCATTACATGGACATATCGTTCATGAATAAGAGAACGGCAGAGATGCACTTGGTGTACGAACATGCCGATGAAATTAGTAGTATACATTAGTCTTCACTCCAATGGCAACGAGAGAGAGACATAGTGTCAGCACACTGCGCTGGGTGATGTACCTATTAACATTAACCAGTTAACCTTCTCTCGATCCCAAGCTCGATGATACTAGAACATTGGCGTCCTGGTCACATCGTCACAGATGATATAACTATAGACAAACTATTGATAAGAATCAGTATACATGAGCATTACGATGCTACATCGACTTAATTAAGTGTAAATAAAGTACAATTCGACGTGAATAGAATATTATTTACGATCTCATTTCTAGCTACAACGTTACATGATTCTCATTGACGTCACATTTATCATTTTTCATTCATTATGCCTCGAGTAAGGACAATTATTTCGATGTGACTAACATTTTACAACATCCGCATTCTGATGATGTCGACAAGACGAATTTTACACTGGTCGCGTTCCTGGTGTAAAACTTACACCGATGTTAATGTGATATATGTAGAATATTGAAATGAGTTAAGTCCGGAATCAAGTGATCTGCAATGAATAAATAAATAAATGCGACTCGATACACATTACAGAGTGCAGACATTGGACCTAACCTGACTTGGTCCACACATGGAGGTATAATATTCCTCCATGGTCCACATTACAGAATACAGAGTAAGGGTCTACTTGGACTTGGTCCTCAGTACAGTGTACAGATAGAGGACCTGCTATGACTTAGTCCACATTACAAAGTGCAGTTGGAGGACCTATCCTGACTTAGTCCACACATGGAGGTATAATATTCCTCCATGGTCCACATTACAGAATACAGAGTAAGGGTATACTTGGACTTGGTCCTCAGTACAGTGTACAGATAGAGGACCTGCTATGACTTAGTCCACATTACAAAGTGCAGTTGGAGGACCTATCCTGACTTGGTCCACACATGGAGGTATAATATTCCTCCATGGTGCACATTACAGAATACAGATAGTGGATCTACTATGACTTGGTCCACACATGGAGGTGTAATATTCCTCCATGGTCCACATTACAGAATACAGAGTAAGGGTATACTTGGACTTGGTCCTCAGTACAGTGTACAGATAGAGGACCTATCCTGACTTGGTCCACACATGGAGGTATAATATTCCTCCATGGTCCACATTACAGAATACAGAGTAAGGGTCTGCTTGAACTTGGTCCTCAGTACGGTTTACAGATAGAGGACCTGCTATGACTTAGTCCACATTACAAAGTGCGGTTGGAGGACCTATTCTGACTTGGTCTACATTACAGAATACACATAGAGGATCTACTATGACTCGGTCCACATTACAGAATACAGAGTAAGGGTTTACTATGACTTGGTCCTTAGTACAGAGTACAGCCGGAGGACCTATTATGGTTTGGTTCACATTACAGAATACAAATAGTAAATCTACTATGACTCGGTCCACATTACACAATACAGATAGAAGCTCTGCTATGACTTGGTCCACATTGCAGAGTGCAGTTGGAGGATCTATTCTGACTTGGTCCACGTTACAGTGCACAGATAAGGATCTATTCTGACTTGGTCCACGTTACAGTGCACAGATAAGGATCTACTATGACATGGTCCACATTACAGAATACAGATAGAAGATTTACTATGACTTGGTCCACATTACAAAATACAGATAGAAGATCTACTATGACATGGTCCACATTACAGATGACAGATAGAAGATCTACTATGACTTGGTCCACATTACAGAATACAGATAGAAGATCTACTATGACTTGGTCCACATTACAGAATACAGATAGAAGATCTACTATGGATTTGTCCACATTACAGAATACAGATAGAAGATTTACATTGACTGGGTCCACATTACAAAATACAGATAGAAGATCTACTATGACTTAGTCCACATTACAGAATACAGATAGAAGATCTACTATGACTTGGTCCACATTACAGAATACAGATAGAAGATCTACTATGGATTTGTCCACATTACAGAATACAGAGTTAGGGTTTGCATTACAGAGTGCAGTTGGAGGACCTATTATGACTTGGTCCACATTACAGAGTTCAGTTGGAGGACCTATTATGACTTGGTCGACATAACAGAGTACAGATAGAGGACCTATTCTGACTCCGTCCACATTGCAGTGTGCAGATAGAAGATCTGCTAAGACTTGGTCCTCATTACAGAGAACAGATAGACGGTCCACTATGACTTGGTCTACATTACAAAGTGCAGTTGGAGGACCTATTCTGACTTGGTCCACATTACAGTGTACAGATAGAGGACCCGATCTGACTTGGCCCACATGGCAGAATACAGATAAAAGATCTGCTATGACTACGTCGACATTACAGAATACAGATAGTGGATCTACTATGACCTTGTCCACATTACAGATTACAGATAGAGGATCTACTAAGACTCCGTCCAGATTACAGAGTGTAGACAGGGATTCTATTCTGTCTTGGTCCAGATTAAAGAGTGTAGATAGGGATTATATTCTGTCTTGGTCCAGATTACAGTGTGCAGACAGGGATCCTATTCCTTCTTGGTCCAGATTACAGAGTGTAGATAGGGATTCTATTCTGTCTTGGTCCAGATTACAGATTGTAGATAGGGATTCTATTCTTACATGGCCCGTATTACAGAGTGTAGATAGGGATTCTATTTTTACATAGTCCAGATTACAGAGTGTAGATAGGGATTAATATTCTGTCTTAGT